TGGGAGGCAGAGGCAAGAGGATTGCTTGAGCCCAGCAGTTTGAGAGCAGCCTGGGCAACATGGCAGGACCTTATCTCTTCCAAAAGTACAAAAAATTAGCTGGGGTTGATGGTGGACACCTATGGTCCCAGCTACTTGGGAGGCTGAGGTGGGAGATTCACTTGAGCCCAGCAGGTCAAGGGCCCAGTGAGCTGTGGTTATGCTGCTGTATGTCAGCCTGGGTCACAGAGTGAGACTCTTTCAATAAATAAGTAAATGAATAATCTGCTGATGAAATTAAGAAAACAATTCCAAGCCGGGCGCGGTGGCTCAAGCCTGTAATCCCAGCACTTTGGGAGGCCGAGGCGGGTGGATCACGAGGTCAAGAGATCGAGACCATCCTGGTCAACATGGTGAAACCCCGTCTCTACTAAAGCTACAAAAAATTAGCTGGGCATGGTGGTGCGTGCCTGTAATCCCAGCTACTCAGGAGGCTGAGGCAGGAGAATTGCCTGAACCCAGGAGGCGGAGGTTGCGGTGAGCCGAGATCGCGCCATTGCACTCCAGCCTGGGTAACAAGAGCGAAACCCCGTCTCAAAAAAAAAAAAAAAATATGAAAGAAAAGAAAACAATTCCAGGGAAGAAACTGTTTGCAAACCATATCTGATAAGGGCTTAATGTCTAAAACATATAAAGAACTCTTACAACCCAATATCAAAAAAATTCCTAAATAACCCAATTAAAAAATGGGCAAAGGACTTGAATAGACATTTTTCTAACGAAGACATACAAATAACCAACAAGTATATGAAAAGGTACTCAAGGCCAGGCATGGTGGCTCACGACTGTAATCCCAGCACTTTGGGAGGCTGAGGCAGGCAGATCACCTGAGGTCAGGAGTTCAAGACCAGCCTGGCCAACAAGGCAAAACCCCTTCTCTACTAAAAAAATACAAAAAATTATCTGGGTATGGTGGCATGCGCCTGTAATCCCAGCTACTCAGGAGGCTGAGGCAGCAGAATTGCTTGAACCTGGGAGGCAGAGGTTGAGGTGAGCTGAGATTGCACCATTGCACTCCAGCCTGAGCAAGAACAGTGAGACTCCATCTAAAAAAAAAAAAAAAAAAAATCACTAATCATCAGGGAAATACAGATCAAAACCACTGTGAGATATCACCTCACATGTTAGGATGACTATTATCAAAAGAAAATAAAGGTAGGCCAGGTACAATGGCTCACGCCTGTAATCCCAGCACTTTGGGAGGCCAAGGTGGGCAGATCACGAGGTCAGGAGATCAAGACTATCCTGGCCAACATGGTGAAACCCTGTCTCTACTAAAAATACAAAAATTAGCTGGAGGTGGTGGTATGCATCTGTAATCCCAGCTACTTGGGAAGCTGAGGCACTAGAATCACTTGAATCTGGGAGGCAGAGATTGCAGTGAGCCAAGATCGTGCCACTGCACTCCAGCAAGACTCCGTCTCAAAAAAAAAAAAAAAGAAGGTAAATGTTATGTTGGTTTCAGAATCCTTAGATACAGACACTAGGTTAAAAAAAAAAAAAGAGTTATACTGGCGCTGCACTCTAGCCTGGCGACAGAGCAAGACTCCGTTTCAAAAAAAAAAAGATAAATGTTGGCAAGCATACAGAGAAATTGGAACGCTTGTACACATTTGATGGGGGATTTAAAATGGTGCCACCACTATTGAAGACAGTATGAAGGTTCCTCAAAAACTGTTACATGATCTAACAATCCCACCGCTGGATATATGTCTGAAAGAATTGAATCAGGATTGTGAAGAGGTACCTGCTCTAATGAACCACAATAATGTTCATTGCGCCATTATTCACAATAACGAAGATATGGAATCAACCTAAGTGTCCATCGGTGAGTTAGTGTATGAAGAAAATGTGGTGTATATACACAATGGAATATGATTTGGCCTTAAAAAGGAAGAGATTCTGTCATTTTCAACAACATGGATGAACCTGGAAGACATTACATTAAGTGAAATAAGCCAGGCACAGAAAGACAAATACCACGTAATCTCACTTATCTACAAAAAAAGTTGAACTCGGAGAGTAGAATGGTGGCCACCAGCAGCTTGCAAGACAGAGTGGGGGATGGAAATGTTGATCAAAGGATATGAAAGTTCAGTTAGATAGTAGGAATAAGTTCAAGAGCTCTAATATAACAACATGGTGACTATAGTTAATAACGTACTGTGTAGTTGAAAATTGCTAAGACAGTAGATTTTAAGTGTTCTTAGCACAAAAAAGGATAAGTATTTGAGGTAATGCAATATGTTAATTAGTTTGATTTAGCCTTTCCATAGTGTTTACATATTTCTTTTCTTTTTTTTTGAGACAAAATCTTGCTCTGGCATGATCTCAGCTCACTGCAACCTCTGCCTCCCGGGTTGAATCGATTTTCCTGCCTCAGCCTACCGAGTAGCTGGGATTACAGGCTCGTGCTATCATGCTCAGCTAATTTTTGTATTTTTAGTAGAGATGGGGTTTCACCATGTTGGCCAGGATGATCTCAATCTGCTGACCTGGTGATCGCCTGCCTCAGCCTCCCAAAGTGCTGGGATTACAAGCGTGAGCCACCACTCTGGCCATGTTTACATATTTCAAAACAACATGTATACAATAAATGTATATAATATTTTTTATGAATTAAAAAATGTGTTGGCTGGGTGCAGTGGCTCATGCCTATAATCTCAGCACTTTGGGAAGCTGAGACAGGCAGATCATTTGATGTCAGTTCAAGGCCATGCTGGCCAACATGGTGAAAACCCATCTCTGCTAAAAATACAAAAATTAGGGCCGGGCATGTTGGCTCACATCTGCAATCCCAGCACTTTGGGAGGCCAAAGCGGACAGATTACCTTAGGTCAGGAGTTTGAGATCAACCTGGCCAACATGGTGAAACCCCATCTCTACTCAACATACAAAAATTAGCCAGGCATGGTGGCATGTGCCAGTAATCCCAGCTACTTGGGAGGCTGAGGCAGGAGAATCAGTTTAGTTCAGGAGGCGGAGGTTGCAGTCAGCTGAGATCGTGCCACTGTACTCCAGCCTGGGCAACAGAGTGAGAACCTGTCACCAATAAATACAAATACAAAAATTAGCAGGGTGTGGTGACACAGGTCTATAGTCCCACTTACTCGAGAGGCTGAGTTGGGAGAATCACTTGAACCCAGGAGGAGGTTGCAGTGAGCCAAGACTGCATCACTGTACTCCAGCCTGGGCGACAGAGCAAGACACCACCTCAAAAAGATATATACAAAAATAGATAATAGTTCTTTGAAAACAGTGTTTTTAATGATTGCATAGTATTTACTCATTATGTTTTCTTCAATAAGAATACATTTGTATTTGCAGTGATTGTTGAGCCCATTCCAATTGGACAGGCTGCTAAGGACTACTTAAATTTATATGTAATGCCAACTCTGCTTGAAGGACTCACAAAGCTTTGTAAGCAAAAACCAGCAGATCCTTTGGTAAGAAACCATTTTATTCACACTAAAAAATATTATCTATAGTTTTCATGTTTAAAGACGTGTCCTTTGAAATACTGAAAATATTGAGAATCTTTTTAAAATAAACATTTCTAGAAGCTATTTTATATACATTTTAGATATTATGTATAATTATTGATTACTTACGATTTTCTTGCTGTGATTTATTTATTTATTTATCTATTTATTTATTTGAGATGATGTCTCGCTCTGTTGCCCATGCTGGAGTGCAGTGGCGCAATCTCAGCTCACTGCAACCTCTGCCTCCTGGGTTCAAGCAATTCTCCTGCCCCAGCCTCTCGAGTAGCTGGGATTACAGGCTCCCACCACCACGCCCAGCTAATTTTTGTATTTTTAGTAGAGACAGTGTTTCGCCATGTTGGTCAGGCTGGTCTTAAACTCCCAACCTCAGGTGATCCGCCTGCCTCGGCCTCCAAAAGTGCTGGGATTACAGGCTTGAGCCACCACGCCCAGCTTGTCTTTCTTTTTTGTAGCCATCCTAGTATAGATAACACAAAGTGATTTCTCACGGTGGCTTTGATCTGCATTTCCCTAATGACTTATGTTGAGCATCTTTTCATGAGCTTCTTGGTCATTTCTATACCTTCTTTGAAGAAATGTCTATTCAAATTCAAGTCCTTTGCCCATTTTTAAACTGGATTGTCTTTTTGTTGAGTTAAATTTCTTTTGTTGAGTTAAAGTTATATTTTTAGATATTAAACCCTTATTAGATATGATTTGAAAATATTATCTTCCATTTTGTAGATTGTCTTTTCACTTTCTTGATAATATCCTTTAATGTATAAATGTTTTTCATTTGCTGAAATCCAATTTATTTATTTTTTCTTTTATATCTTGTGTTTTTGGTGTCATGTCTAAGAATCCATTGTGAAATCAAAGTCCAAGGTCATGAAGATTTACCCCTATGTTTTCTTTTAAGATTTTTTTACTTCTTCTTTCCTTTTTTTTTTTTTTTTTTTTTGAGACAGAGTCTTACTTTGTTGCCTATGCTAGAGTCCAGTGGCGTGATCTCGGCTCACTTCAACCTCTGCCTTCTGGGTTCAAGGGATTCTTGGCCCCAGCCTCCTGAGTAGCTAGGACCATAGGAGCATGCCACCACACCCAGCTAATTTTTTAAATTTTTTGTAGAGATGGGGTCTCATGTTGTCCAGGCTGGTCTCAAACTCCTAGTCTCAAGTGATCTTCCTACCTGGGCCTCCAAAAGTGTTGGGATTTTTGGTGTGAGTCACTGCACCTGGCCTCTTTTAAGACTTTTATTGTTTTAGCTCTTATATTTAGGTCATTGGTCCATTGTGAGTTAAGTTTTGCATGTGATGCGGTATAAGGGCCCAACTTTATTCATTTGCATGTGGAAATCCAGTTGTCCTAGTATCTGTTGAAGAGACTGTTCTTTCTCCATGAATAGACTTGGTACCATTGTCAAAAATTTGTTGACCATAGATGCATGGGTTTATTCCTGGATTCTCATTCTTTTTAAAAAATATGAAATGCTTCATGAATTGTGCATCATCCTCGCACAGGGGCCATGCTAATCTCTCTGTATCATTCTAGTTTTGGTGTATGTGCTGCCAAAGAAAGCACTGGACTCTCAGGTCTATTCTATTGGTCTGCATGTCTGGCATAAGGATGTCACTACCACACTATGCTGAATAGCTTTATAGAAGGTTTTGAAATTGAGAGTACAAGTCAGTCCTCCAACTTTGCTCTTTTTCATCATTGTTTTGGCTCCTCAGAGCCCCTTGCAATTTCACATGAATTTGAGGATTGGCTTTCCATTTCTGCAAAATGCTTGTTGGACATTTGGCAAGAACTGCATCAGATCTGTAGATTGTTTTGGGTATAAGTGACATCTTAACAATATCAAGTCTTCCTATCCATGAAAAAAGAATGTCTTCTCATTTGTTTAGGCATTCTTTAATTTCTTTCAGCAATGTTTTATAGTTCTTAATGTGTAAGCCTTTCATTTCTTTGGTTAAATTTATTCCTTGGCATTTTATTTGCCTTTATGCTACTGTAAATGAAAGTGATTTTTTAATTTCTTTTTTGGACTGTCATTGCTATTGTATAGAATACAACTGTTTGTGTATTGATCTTGTAACTTACATCTTTGCTGAATTTATTAGCTCTAATAGCTTCCTTTTAAATTCCTTAGGATTTTCCATATATAGGTTTATGCCATCTGTGAATAGAGATAGTTTTACTTTGTTCTTTCCAGTTTGGATCTATTCTTGACAGTCCTGCATGATGTAAATCCAGATGTTCCATTTTAATGGTCATTTTCTCTAAGTGATTTTGAAAACTGTTTGTTTCCAATTGATATAGTATATATTGAAAGGAAATATTAACTTAAGCGTTTTTTTTTTCTTTTTCCCATAGATTTGGCTAGCTGATTGGCTGCTGAAAAATAATCCCAACAAACCCAAACTTTGTCACCCTCTAATTGTAGAAGAACCTTATTAAAAAAAAAAAAATCCTCAAAAGAACAAATCATGAACTATCTTACTGCAAAAGGCTGTACTTCTACTATTTGAAAAAAAAAAATTATTTCCAGGGTTTAAGTAACTATGAGTAAAATAAATTTCTTTCTTTTTTTTTTTTTTTTTTTTGAGACGGAGTTTCGCTCTTGTTACCCACACTGGAGTGCAATGGCGCGATCTCGGCTCACCGCAACCTCCGCCTCCTGGGTTCAGGCAATTCTCCTGCCTCAGCCTCCTGAGTAGCTGGGATTACAGGCACGCGCCACCATGCCCAGCTAATTTTTTTTGTATTTTTAGTAGAGACGGGGTTTCACCATGTTGACCGGGATGGTCTCGATCTCTTGACCTCGTGATCCACCCGCCTCGGCCTCCCAAAGTGCTGGGATTACAGGCTTGAGCCACCGCGCCCGGCAAATTTATTTCTTAAAATAAGTGTTAAAGGAATAACTATTCTATGAAGCAGATAACATTAAGGTAAAATATATTTTAACAATGATGTAACATTAGGTAATGGAAAACTGATGTAAGATGTTGCTAGGTGGTTTTCTTAAGTTTGAGAAGTAGGACATAAAGTTTAGTTAATACATTTTCCCAAGCACATATCCTATATCTAGATACATAATTAATGCATAATTGAAATGGTCTAGTTTAAAAGGCATAGGACCTTTTGTAGTTCATAAGCCTGATGATTTGGTTTCATGCTTGTGTGTGAGATGTGCTTCCCTCATACCTTCTTACAGCATCATCACATTACCTGTTTGATGTAAAAAAATAAAAATAGAAGGCCAGGTATGGTGGCTCACACCTGTAATCCCAGCACTTTGGGAGGTTGAGGTGGGCAGATCATGAGATCAGGAGTTCAAGACCAGCCTGGCCAACATGGTGAAACCCTGTATCTACTAAAAATACAAAAATTAGCCTGGTGTGGTGGTGTGTGCCTGTAGTCCCAGCTACTGGGGAGGCTGAGGCAGAAGAATTGCTTGAACCTGGGAGGTGGAGGTTGTGATGAGCTGAGATTGCACCACTGCACTCCAGCCTGGGCAACAGAGTGAGATTCTGTCTCAAGAAAATAATAATAATAATAATTAATAAAAATATAAAGATGTAAGTATATAAATAATTATTTGATACAATGAAAATGGCCAGAACCAGGGGATGATTTTTAAACTAATCACTTAGATAACTATTAAGCTGATGCAAAAGTGATCGAGGTTTTGCCATTAAAAAACAATCAATGGTAAGGCTGGACGCAGTGGCTCATGCTTGTAATCCCAGCACTTTGGGAGGCTGAGATGGGCATATCACCTGAGGTCAGAAGTTTGAGAAGAGCCTGACCAACTTGGAGAAACCCCGTCTCTACTAAAAATACAAAATTAGCCAGGCTCGATTGTATATGCCTGTAATTCCAGCTACTGTGGAGGCTGAGGCAGGAGAATTGCTTGAATCCACGAGGTGGAGGTTGTGGTGAGCCAAGATTGCACCACTGCACTCCAGCCTGGGCAATAAGAGCAAGACTCCATCTCAAAAACAAACAAACAGATGGCCGGGCGCGGTGGCTCAAGCCTGTAATCCCAGCACTGTGGGAGGCCGAGGCGGGTGGATCACGAGGTCAAGAGATCGAGACCATCCTGGTCAACATGGTGAAACCCCGTCTCTACTAAAAATACAAAAAATGAGCTGGGCATGGTGGTGCGTGCCTGTAATCCCAGCGACTCAGGAGGCTGGGGCAGGAGAATTGCCTGAACCTGGGAGGCGGAGGTTGCGGTGAGCCGAGATCGCGCCATTGCACTCCAGCCTGGGTAACAAGAGCGAAACTCCGTCTCAAAACAAACAAACAAACAAACAAACAAACAAAGGCAAAAACCGCGATTGCTTTTGCACCAACCTAGCATTTCCTCAAAATTAATAAGTGCCTTCTGGCCGGGCGCAGTGGCTCATACCTGTAATCTCAGCACTTTAGGAGCCCATGGCGGGCAAATCACAAGGTCAGGAGTTCCAGACCAGCTTGGTCAACTTGGTAAAACCCTGTCTCCACTAAAAATACAAAAAATTAACTAGGTGTGGTGTCAGGCGCCTGTAATCCTAGCTACTCAGGAGGCTGAGGTGGGAGAATTGCTTGAATATGGGAGGCAGAGGTTGCAATGAGCTGAGATCCTCCCACTGCACTCCAGCCTGGGTGATAGAGTAAGATTCTCTAAAAAAAAAAAAAAAAAAAGAGCAAATATTTAAACCTGTCTTCATCTCTTCAAAATGTCGTTATAAAACAAAAAAGTGGAGATAGGGAATAACTGTTAATAGATGAAAAGAGACTAGAGACAGCTTAAAAATGCTGTTTCTTAAAATGCAGTGAGTGGATATTAATGGGATCCTGGTTTTAAAAACATCTGTAAAAGACCTTTGGGGCCAAGTGCAGTGGCTCAGGCCTATAATCCCAGCACTTTGGGAGGCTGAGGCAGGAGGATCACAAGGTCAGGGGTTTGAGACCAGCATGGTGAAACCCCATCTCTGCTAAAAGTACAAAACAATGTGCCGAGCATGATAGTGCTCGCCTGTAATCCCAGGTACTCAGGGGGCTGAGGCAGAATTGCTTGAACCTGAGAGGCGGAGATTACGGTGAGCCAAGATCACACTGCTGCACTCCAGCCTGGGTGACAGAGCAAGACTCCATCTCTGGGGGGGGAAAAAAAAAGACCTTTGAGGGGAAATTGAGATTCAGATACAGACTAAATATTAGATGCTATTAAAGAATAATTGCTGGCCGGGCACAGTGGCTCGCGCCTGTAATAGCACTCTGGGAGGCCGAGGCAGTCAGATCATCTGAGTTTGGGAGTTCAAGACCAGCCTGACCAACATGGAGAAACCCTGTCTCTACTTAAAGTACAAAATTAGCTGGGCATTGTGGTGCTCACCTATAATGACAGCTACTCAGGAGGCTGAGGCAGGAGAATCGAATTCATCTGGGAGGTGGGGGTTGCAGTGAGCCGAGATCTCGCCATTGCACTCCAGCCTGGGCAACGAGTGTGAAACTGTGTTGCATGCATGCGCACCCACACACACACACACAAGAATAATTGGTCATTTCTGTAGGATGAAAATATGGCCATAAAAGGAAAATGCTATTATTTTTAGGTGATATGTTCTGAAATGTTTAGGGATACAGTTGATGATGTTTATAACTTATTTTCAAATGAGCCAGCAAAAAAACTTTTTATAATGTATAGATAAAGCAAAGTTAGGAAAATATTAACAATTGTTTAGGTGGTCGGCATTTAAGTGTTTATTTTATTATCCTTTCAACTTTAAAATATTCATAAAATGAATTTGGGGAAAAAAGTTGAATTTACTTTCAACTTTAAAATATTCATAAAAAATGAGCCGGGCGTGGTGGCTCACGCCTGTCATCCTAGCACTTTGGGAGGCTGAGGTGGGTGGATCACCTGAGGTCGGGAGTTCAAGACCAGCCTGGCCATCATGGTGAAACCCCATCTTTAAAAAATAAATAAATAAATAAACATTCATAAAATGAAGTTGGGGAGAAAAGAGTAAAGATCCAGCTATCATCACTATAGTGATTCATTTTTCACATGAGTGATGGGAAGACATTCAAATACTGTATGTCTTTTGATTTGATACCAATGGAACGTATTACTCATCTGTGAGGTTTTCTAGCGAAAAATGTGTACCTTAAAATTATCAAGGATTTAAGCAAAATTATCAAGGATTTAAGCCAAACTCCCAGCTTACAGTAATATGGGAGTTAGTGACCATCTAAAGGACACCATAAAGAAACAAGCAGGAAAATTTAGAAGATGGGATGTTCTACAGGACAGCTGCCCTGGTTTTTTAAATACATTGGTGTCTTGAGAAGAGGGACTGTCTTAGATTAAAAGAAAATTAAGATATATAATTAGAATCAGTACCTGTTCCTAGGTTGGACCCTGGTTTAGGCAGACAAGCTGCAAAGAACATTTTGAGACAACTGAGAAGATTTGAATCCAGACTGAGTATTAGATGAGATGAAAATATATCTTTTGCCTTGTGCCTGTAATCCCAGCTACTCAGGAGCCTGTGGCACAAGAATCACTTGAACCTGGGAGGCAGAGG